TTTTTTTTGTCAGAAGTAATTTGTTTGGAAATGTCAAATTGTGGATCTAAAACAAAGTTACTGACTTTTTAGGATGCTTGAAAATATGAATAAATGAAATGGCTTACTTTGATTTTTCTGAACTGTGCTTGATTGTATTTAAAATGTATTTATTTCTTCGCTGTTGATTTCCCTTGATATATTCAGTTCATGCCAATTTCCCTAATTTAATGTATATTCCTTCAAAGTTTGTCACCTGGTTGTAAATAGTTTTGTTCTATTTTGCAGTTCTATGTATGCATCAAAACCTGATAATATTACATTCACCAGATTCTACACTTTCTACAGCTTCAAACTTATTTATAATTCCTGATCTATTTCTAACATCTAAACCATAAACTTGCTGAAAAAGAAAATTCTGGACTAGTTAATAGTGCATGCAATATTTGCCCTGACTCCAGATTAGATAGGATTTCACATGAAATATGGAAAGGAAAATATTGATAACCATTGTTAATGGACTGTGAAGACATTTTAATATAGTCTCAGGACTGTAAGTCCTTTGCTATAGAAATGATATTACAGTTGGACATGTTATTGTTTTATAGAAAACTGGATTATGAATCCTTTTCCTAACATGTCTAGGCAAGGGACAATAGTGAGGATATGAAAAGCTTTTGCCCCTCTTTCTAGAGGGTAAATAAATAATATTTATTAATCCTAAACTCAGTAATTGCAAATCTAGTTTTTCAATTCCCATGAGTTCATATTTGTCCTATTATTAGATTCAGAGTAAGCAGCGAAGGAATCTCACTTCATCTTTCGTATTTCCTTTGAACCTAACACTAGTCATACAGTGGAGGGAAGCTCATATTTAAATGTCAAAAGTGGGGCTGGGGTGGTGGCTTAGTGGTAGAGCACTTGCCTATCATGTGTGAGGCACTGGATTTGATTCTTCGCACAAGATAGATAGATAGATAGATAGATAGATAGATAGATAGATAGATAGATAGATAGATAGATAGATAGATAAAGACATTGTGTCCACTACAACTATTTTAAAAATTTCAAAGGGTTATTATATTTATAGCCTTGCACTTAATGCACAGGCTGGCAAACTGAGAAGATGCTTCAGAAGAACCTTCCCTCAACAACTAAAGCACTGCCAAAATTAACCACAAAGAGGAAATATGAGGGAGATCTTTAATAATAAATTTGTCTCAGAAATTATCTATATCTAAATTGCACATAGAATTTTCCTGTTTTCTTTTTATTCAACCTTCAGCAATACTTCCT